GGGAGGTGGGGAGGTCAAAGAGCCAGTCATTGAGTTCCTGTTAGAAATAGTCCTTGTTCCCCTTACTATGTGAAACCAATTGATTACTGAGCTATCACGGGTCATATCCGAGCAGAGGTTCTAGGTTTTATCCTCTCATGGTCTTTGGTTGAGTGTCCATCTCAGAAAAGACCCTGTGCCCAGATATGTTTGGTCCTTGTGGAGCTCCTATCCTTTCCACATCAAACTCCCCTTCTTTCATATGATTCCCTGCACTCTGCTGAGGGTTTGGTTATGAGTCTTAGTATCTACTTTGATACACTGCTAGGTAGAGTCTTTCAGATGCCTTCTGCAGTAGACTCCTGTCATACATTCAATGCACATCCCATTCATTATGTTTATCATATGTTTTAGGTCTATATAAGAGAGTAGAAATATAGGGTTCTTGTCTTATTTAAAACAAACAATTTAGGAATAGGCTCAAGGAAACTTTTCCTAGAATGGAAAGTAAGAAGTAAGTAAGTAAGTAAATAAATAAATAAATAAATAAATAAATAATCCCTCAGTTAGTCTATAAATCTGACCAGCTGCTTGGAGGGGGAGAATGGAAGCTAAAAAGAAAAGTGTTTTTCTATTTGAGTTACCGGCCTTAAGATCTACTGCATGCCAGAAGGCAGCAACATGGTATGGAACAAGGCTTTTACAGAAGGTATAAGGAAGCCCACCGTGGTCTGCTGAAGTTCGCTAAGGCATTGGTGAAGATGAAGCAAGATTATCAGCGGAAACCAGCATTGAAAGAGTCATGGAGAAAGTTGAGGCTTTGAAGAGCACCTAGAAGAAGATATTGGTAAACGTGCAGCTGAGTTGCAACGGGAGACCTCAGCATTTTAAAGAGGCCAGTACCATGGGATAACCAAGAACAGCAGTGGGTATGTGGTTGAAACTGGCCTGAGTCAAAAAAAAAAAAAAAAAGACAGCTACATTGTTACAGAGTACAGATCAGAAAAGTGAATCCAAGCCACTTGGAGTAGCCCAGAAGATTGTGAGTGAATCCCAAGAACTGGACATTGAGTGATTTATATATTTGGAGTTTAGTTTTACATTTATCTGATGATTGACTATTTAATGTCTTCACAACCAGTAACGCCTGGAAGACTCTTACATGTTACCAACTTGGGCTGCCAAAACAATATACAGCCTTGGCCCTTCTGGAACACAGCTCTGTGTGCTGACTCAAGGAAACACTTCCTAGAAGATTTAATTTCAGTGATGTTGGTCTCTGCTTAATCACTGCTAATATCTCTGCTTCAGGTAACCAGTATTCATTGTCAAAGCAAATAAAAATTTCATTTTAGTGTTTTTCGTACCTTAATAACTGCAGCTGATGTCTCAGCTCCAGCTAGCCAGCTAGCCATCACACAAAAGGCCGTCCAGAGTCTTTGCTTACCTTTGCAACTTCAAAAGCCAGGCCTCTATTGTCCTTGCTGCTCTCAATACTCTCATCTTCAAAGTTTCCACAGAACAGCCCACCAAACTTTCAATACTCAATGGCTCTTCCAGTCTAAAATTCCAAGTCCTTCCAACATTCTTCCAAAAACACATGGTCAGGTCTGTCACAGAAATACCTCACTATCTTGGTACCAATTTCTCTCTAGTTAAGGTTAATACTGCTGTGATGAAACTCCATGATCAAACCAAGTAGTAGACAAAAGGGTATATTTGGATTAGACATCCATATTTTAGTCCATCACTGAAAAAGGTCAGGAGACTAATTCAAGCGGGGAGGGATGCTGGAGGCGATTTTGATCATCATGGCTTTATCAGCTTGTTTGCTTTTCTGTTTCTTCCTTTTTTTTCTGTTCCTACCCACCTCCCATCAGCACTCACGGTTCCTCAATAGAAAACAATAGGATTCTAAGAGATAATAACCAACCATAACAAAATAATATATAGAAAGATGAAGCAAAAACTTGGGTATCAAAGTTGGACACAGAAATCCAACAAGAGAAAAAGAATCCCAAGAGCAGGCACAAGCGTCAAAGATATATTCATTCTCATAGTCAAGAGTTCCATACAAATACTAAGCTAATAGGTAATATATAATCATCATCCATATATCTATATATCTATATAGCTATATATCTATATCTATATCTATATATATATATAACTATTACACAATTTAATAATATCTATTCTAATATATATATATTCAGGCCCTGTGCTTGCTACTTTATCTTAGAGAGCTCATAAGAGCCTTGCTTAGTTGATTCCGTGGTCCTTGTTCTCATGACATCCTCCATCTCCTCTGAGTCTTACAAATTTTCTGGCTCTTCTTCAGGACTCCCTGAGATTTGAGTGGAGGGATTTGATGGAGACCTCCAATTGAGACTCTCTCTCTCACTCTCTCTATTTCTCTTTCATGTCTGACAGCTTGCTTTCTTATAGAGCCCAGGACCACTAGCCCAAATATGGCACCACCCACAACGAACTGGTCCCTTTCTCACAACCGTTAATTAAGAAAATACACTACATGTTTGCCTACAACCTACATATATAAATGGAGGCATTTATATATATATATATATATATATATATATATATATATATA